CACCTTCCCAACCTTGCTTGGATGTTCAAAATCCTTAGGTTGTATCATATACACGTCCTGATCTAGATTTCCATTTAGGAAAGCACTTTTGACATCCATTTGCTAAATCTCATAATCAAAATGAGCGTCAATTGCTAAGAGAGTCTGAATTGATTTAAGCATGCCAACTGGCGAGAATGTTTCATCATAGTCTATACCATGAATTTATCTATAATCTTTCACCACTAAACGTGCTTTATAGACATCTACATTGCCATCTTTATCGAATTTCTTTTTGTAGATCTATTTGCACCCAATGGTTCTACAACCATCAGGTAGATCAACCAAGTCCCAAACTTGATTGTCAGTCATGGATCTCATTTCGGATTTCATGACTTCTAGCCAACTATCGGAATGAGGGCTCGATATTGCTTCATGGTATGTCAAAGGTTCATCTTTGTCTATTAATAATACGTCGCGATGCTCAGTTAAGATAAACATGTATTTTGACTCCCACAGGTTCTTTCAGAAAGAAATTCTCTTTCTAAGAAGATACCATTACGAGCAACAAACACTTTCTTCTACGATGGGTTGTACAAGTAATATCTTTTTGTATCCTTAGGATAACCCACACATAAGCATTTATCTAATTTGGGTTTAAGCTTATTTGAAAGTAAACGTTTTACATATACTTGGCAACCCTAGATTTTCACAAAGGTTAGATTAGGAACCTTTCATGGCCATATATCATATGGTGTCCTTTCTGTAGCCTTTGTTGGAGCGCTATTGAGTGCGAATGCAACGGTTTCAAAAGCATAACCCTAGAAAGAGATTGGAAGTTCATCGAGACTCATTATGGAACGAACCATGTGTAACAAGGTTCGATTTCTCCTTTCGGACACACCATTCCATTGTGGTGTACCTGGTGGAGTGAGTTGTGAACCAATTCTACATCATCTTAGATTGTCACTAAATTCCTGGCTCAGATATTCACCACATCGATCTGATCGAATGACTTTTATTATTTTTCCAAGTTGATTCTGAACTTCATTCTGGAATTCTTTGAACTTTTCAAATGCTTCATGTTTATGCTTCATTAGGTACACATAACCAAACCTATTAAAAACCTCCTCTTGTCATTGTTGACATTGGCCCACATACATCCGAGTGTATGAGGTCCAATAAACTGTGAGCTCTTTCACCTTTACTAGTAAATGGTGTTTTGACCATTTTACCTAATAAACAAGATTCACACTCCTCGATTGATTCAAAATCAAAAGAGTCAAGAAATCCATAAGAATGGAATCTTTTAATGTTCTTCTCATTTATATGGCCTAACCTGCAATGCCAAAAGTTTGTTGGGTTAGAGTCATTAGATTTAAACCTCTTTGTATGTACGTGATAGATGGGCATTTCAAGGTCTAGAACATAAAGTCCATTTATAAGACTAGCACTACCATAAAAGATCTCATTAAAATAAATAGAACAAATATCTTTCTTTATTATAAAATTAAATCCTTTCTTGTCCCAACAAGAAACAAAAATTATATTCCTACTAATGGCAGATACATGATAACAATTATCAAGTTCTAAAACTAAGCCCGTCGGTAATTTAAAGTAAATGTACCTATTGCTAATGCTGCTGCAACTTTTGCATCGTTGCCTACTCATAGGTCAACTTCACCGTTAGCCAGCCTTCTGCTCAATGTCAGTCCCTGCACATTTGAACAAATGTGAGAACCACAACCGGTATCTAATACCCATGAAGTAGTAGTAGTAACATTTACTTCTATCACATAGTTATCTGATTGGAAGCATCACCATGCCCCCTCTTATTCAGTTCCTCCAAATAAGCCTTGCAATTCCGCTTCCGATGACTGGTTTTATTGCAGTGGAAACATTTTTCTCTTCTTTAGAAGTAGAGCTAGCAACAGATTTTCCTTTACCCGAGTTCTTAACTAGGCTTTTGGATTTCTTGTTTCCACCAACATTGCCTTTACCATGCTTCTTGAATCCATTTCCCTTTTTTACCATCAAAACATCACCCCAAGTTTTCTTGATGTTTTGCTCAGCAGAGTTGAGCATTCCATGCAATTCGGTTAAGGTCTTCTCAAGACCATGCATATTAAAGTTCAGGATAAGCTGGTCATGTGCCAGGGTGAGTGATGTGAGAATCACATTTGTAGCCAAGTCTTGACTAATTGGAGATCCAAGTCTTGCCATGTGGTCCCTATACCCAATCATCTTGAGTACGTGAGGTCCAACTCGGCTCCCATCAGTAAGCCTTGTGTGAAACAAAATCTTGGTTGTCTCGAACCTTTTGATCTGTGTTTGTTTTTTAAACAAGTTCTTAAGTTCATTAGAGATGTCATGTGCATGATTATTTAGAAACGGTTTCTGAAGATTAGCTTCCATGATGATTAACATCAGACAAGTGACATCAACTTCAACACAGACATGCCTTTCATAAGCATCTGTAGTGGCTCTAGGAGCATTGGCGCTGGTTCAGCAAGAATTGGTTGGTCAAGGACATATTCTTTACGCTCTTGCCTGAGAACAATTCTCAGATTCTTATCTCAATCCATGTAATTTGTTCCATTAAAATTTTCCTTTTCAAGGATTGATCACAGTGAAAATGTTATGTTGGTGGTCATATTAACTAAAACAGAATTCAAAGAATTTAAATAATGCTCAAAATAAATCTCACTATATTAAATAGAAAGTCTCAAATATAGGAGTCCAAGATTCATATTTCACTAAAATTTAAGTAAGTTTTGAGTTATCAGTTAAACATTAGTTATTTAGGTAAACAACTATTGTTAATCATTTCCTATATGACTCTTAGTTTGTTTGGTCAACATCATATGATTATCCAATCATTCCTAGCTTCAAGACCCAAAACCATTTTGATGGTCTTGTAAGTCCAAACCAATATTAAGACCTGAGAATGAACATTATTCAAACCATCTTCCTAAGATAATGTGAAATAATTTGCTTTGGCAGACACATATCACGACTAGCATAGCTTAAATGGTGGTCATATTGGAAAAGTAATTTAGACTTATAATTAATCAGGACTAATAATTACACACATGCAGCAATCATAGATTTAAATAAATAATTTAAAACTAATGCACTGATATAGCATGATCCCAAAATCTTCATATCTCTTTGGCATCTTCAATCTAGGCAGTAGACTACTAAATATCTACGGAGTTGAAAATATTACAGGGGATAATGGGAAAAGCGACACACAGGCAGTAAAACAACATAATATAAAAACATACATTCGGATCATGCTATACCACCAATTTATATTGTCCTTGTGATGAAACAAAATATTTGCGCATGCACGGATTGAAATTTAAAATTTAATAAAATCTGCAAGTAATATTTAATTATAGGGAGCAGATCAGGTGAGAAGTACTCTTAGGCTGAAAACTGCGAACTCAAACTTATAAACCAAATATAGGAACTTTTAACCAATAAATCATAACTTATAGCACTTCGAAAATTATTACGAAAATGACACCGAAAAAAATTAAGACTGGAAACCTTGAAAATTTTTTGACGCGGTGGCATTTTCGTAATTATGATAGAGAGCTTTATAAGTTATGATTTATTGGTTAAAAATTCATATATTTGGTCAATAAGTTTACTGCGTTGTAGATCACATGCAAATCCAAGGGCTAAGATTACTTTTCACATGATCTCCTCTCTCTTATCTCTCACGTTCCCACGTTAAGCATCGTTCTCACTCGAATCGCACTATATATAATCACGCCGCGTGTTTATCATCTTTGAAGACCCACCTCTAGGGATGGACCGGTTCCAGTCGGGCCCGGTTCGGGCCTGGGCCCGGCCGGGCCTCGGTTCAAGAAGGGGAGGCCCGGAACCGGCCCAGGTAACCCCGGGTCCGGGCCGGGCCGAGCCTCGGTTCTATTTATTTATTTATTTTTTTGGCTTTTCCTAGTTAACCCCCAACCCTCCCACTCACCCCCAAACCAACCCTAACCACCTCAAATGGCCCAAAATACCCAACCCAACCCAAAAACTTAAAAAAAATCAAAAATAAAAAAAATGGCTCGACCCGAGCCCGAACCGGCCGAGCCGGTTCATCTTTTGAAGGACCCGAGTCCGAACCGCCATCCCACCGGGCCCGGAACCGGTTCACCGGGCCAGGCCGGGCCCGCACAGTAGCGGGCCAGGCCGGGCCCGCACAGTAGCGGGCCGGGCCCACACAATAGCGGGCCGGTCCGGTTCCGAGCCGGTTGGCCAGGCCCAAGTCCACCCCTACCCACCTCATCCTCGCAGACACCAATTCAAGGATGATAAAGGAAGAGCGCGAGCAAGAGTATAATTTCTCGAGCAGATTTGCACGCTCACTACTCAAGAAAGTGAGAGACTTGTGTTGGAATATATTATCCCGGTTTGTTACTGTTCAAGAGTCCAGACACACCACCCCCACACTAGGCCTGATCCACGAGGCCTACATCAGCCCATCCGGTCCATTTCAGCCCTTTTGACCCATTAATGTAGATTTTACCCCCTTTTCATATAAATAAGAGGTTACCCTCCATGTTTTGGGATCCCCCTTTTCGACCCCTTCACTTCTTCTCCGTCTCTCTAGAATAATTTGATCCTCCATTAATGGAAGCTCAACACTTGTACTATACTACTATGTAAATGGTGAAAAGAGTTTAATGAGAATGAGAGTGACATGGAAATTAACCAAAAAGTCTCATGGTTTTCTCTATTTCTCTATTTCGGATTTCCACGTTAGAAAAGATTGTTCATACATTTATTTAGACAGTTTATACATTTTATTACTGTTTCATCTTGGATTAAACCCAACACTATGCATTTGTCATTATTTAAAATACTACGTATTAAATAAAGTGTTTTATCACATGTACTTTGTTACATGATATATATTTAAAATTTAATTTTGTATTTACTGAGAAACATTCATTAGTGGATATAAATTTACGTTAGTCAAATTATTGTACGGGGTATATTGGTAAGCCTTTACAGGGGTTACATGTTAACAATATTGAGCCAAGCGCTCACGACTTAACAATACTAGCCATAAAATTTCCTTAACATTTATTGTAAGCTCACAAAATTTGCTTTTTCCATTATTTTGTGGCCTTTAAAAAAAGTCCATTAGCTTTCAGCTAGAGGTATATGGTTTGATGGTTCCAGTACAGAGAATCAATAACAAATGCAGAAGAAGAGTACATATTTAGACAACTCTTTTTCCCATTATGTTTACTCAGTTTTGCCGAGAAGCACCAGGAGGGATGCGTCTTTTCCCTTTTATACAAGCAGGCAGCACTAAAGATGGTATGGTTTGAAACCAGTTCATCTGTTGCTCCCACTAAGCCCAATATTAAAACACAGGAAAATATGAGCAACCCAATCTGCAAGAAGAGACAAGTCAGACAACGGGGACCAAGGCAAATGGTAAGTAGCATAGAAAGTTTAGTTACAGGAAAAAAAAGAAAGGAATATACTATGTAGATAAAGGCTCGTATGCTTACACATTTCATCGCTGCTAAGTTTCGTTCAAAGTTCTGAACCTGCAAATGCCACGACGAGTCTCCACCAAAGAATCACGTATAGATTGCACCATAGATGAAACAGCAGGTACATGGATCAACTCCTCATCCTGCTCCTGAAAGTTCAATCTCAGAGGTGCATAGAATCCACACACACTCCTCGCACTTTAAGCATCTGTTTGGATGGAGGGTTTTGCAACTGAAGGCTTTCAAGGGTTTGGCAAATCATAATCAAACACAATATTTCTAATAACAAATAAGAGGTGATTGAAATGTTATACAGTTGAACATTATGTTAGTCTATTAATTTCATAAAATCTCAAATATACATGTATCAAAATATCCCTCCAACAAAAAAAATCATCCAAACACTCTGAGTTATGTATATTTGAGTAGCTTAATGTACCACTTTAGCTAGCCGATCTTCAAAACCTACAACACTTGTATCACTTGTCATGAATATCTTTCTATAAGCAGATCTGAGACTCCTTATCTGAATGCGTACCAGTAAAAAAACAACTGAAGAAAGGTCTTATAGAAAATAGGTTATCAAATGTGCTCATAAAACTTTTAGTGAAAACAAACCTCAGAAGCTGAGAATCCATGACGACGTAGACCTTCAAGATTTAACCCACGTAGCTCAGCCCTTTCACCTGAGACCATCGTGTACTTTGGAACATCTTGTGAAACCTAGAACATGCAAAAAAGAACAAAAGTCGTAAAGGGAAATGATTGTACTTTTCAGAGTTATTGTCCCCAATCATACTGTGTATACATGACAAGATTACAAGCTATATACAATATATTAGATGATACCCCCTGCCGTCCCGCTAAGATTGTCTTATAACAAATTTGGTAATTGTGTGGTTCTAAATCTTTTTTACTTTATTTTACTTTATCAATTCAATATCAACCACATATACTCACTTTTTTAATAACCGCACCACTTCCTCTTGTACCAATGTTAGTGGGACGAAGGTAGTAATAAAAAAGACATGCAAAAGAGTCAACCACGTAACAGCAAAAAAAAACCATTTTTTAAAATTGCAGTTACTGTTCCTGAACATATATGGTATGTTTTATACTATCCTCCGTTCCATAAAAGTTGCAACAGTTTGACTTTCACGTTTGCCAACGCACAACTTTGACTGTAATTATATTTATTTACGTATCAGTAAACATTAAAAAAAGTTAATATATTGGAAATTTACATTAATACAAATTTATTAATATTGTATACATAATATTTTTATTATATATATTATTAGAAAATCGTAGTCAAAGTAAGGTGTGTGAATAGTGCAGAAATTCCAATGTTGCAACTTTTATGGAACGGAGGAAGTATTATGGAATAAATACTCTGTAAGAGAGACTCAGCTAAATTAATAATATTACAAGTTATATATATAACACTGTATAAATGAAGATTGTCAATTAAGTAATAAACTAATAATGTTACCACTGAACCACCACCAATGAAGGAAAAAGAACCAATATGACAAAACTGATGAATCACTGTAGCACCAGCAGTGTGGGTATGGTCCTGGATGATGGAAAGAAAGAACAAAAAGTGAATCCCCCGTCATTTGGTTTATTATTTTATTGTTCTTAAATGATTGAATAATGCTCTACTGCTTAGTATAATGCTGAAGTAATTAATTACCTCCACTACAACATGCCCAGCCAGAAGTGTATTATTTGCCAAAATGTTGTTTTTACCCACTTTGCAGTCATGAGCTATATGACAAGAGCCCATAATAAGATTGTTGTCACCAATGACCTGCGTTTATTTGGCGCTCAATAGTAGAGCATAAAGTATATCATGAATGAAGTTAATCATTCCTCTGATGTTCAAATATTGTCCCATACCGTTCTATCACTAGGCCTTGAAGATCGATGGATGGATGTATGCTCCCTGATCTCATTATTGTCACCAACCACAAGGAAACATTCACTCCCCAGCTGAAACCATTATAAAGAAAAAACAGAGATTAAACATTTATAATCACTTAATCAGAACATGTTGACATTATAGATAGAAAGGTAGGGGGCACTGGGCAAACTGGTGAATACATAGGTTACTAGTTTCAAACATGACTTAGGAGCGTGGATCAGAATTTCATAAGCTATTATCGGTAGCTTCTTCTTAAAGATAAATTTGGGGGTATCCAAAATTGCTAAGAGCTATTCCCTCCGTCCTGTAAAAGGGGTTATGTTTAAAATCACCAAAAGCTGTCAAAAAAGAAGAGAAAGGTTTGATTAAATGAAGATGGCTTTTTTATTAATTCACCAAAGTAGAACAGCTAGCAAGTTCAATATGATAATTTAGATGAAAGTCAAGAGTTTTTAACACATATGTTTTATGACTTACTTGTCAGTAAGTATGTTCAATATGATAATTTAGCAAGTATGATTTTCAAATGTGAAGAGTTGTTCCTTGTCAATAATAATAATAAACTTGGTCAAACAAAACTCTTTTTTGGACAGAGGGAATACACTATAGCAGATCAGGTCATTGTGCATGAAAGACAGAATATTATCTCCCTCTCACATTTATATTCCCTACATCCCACAAATTCTCTGACATTTATTTTCTCAATGGATTTAGAATAAATTCCCTCTAACTTTACCAAAACTTAGATCTTTATTTCTCTGGAATGTTCAGATTCCAGATCTCAACAAGTAGTAGTACTTTAACAGGGTAGAGGATGTATTTGCTATTTCCATTAGCAACTTTTGCATAGAAACCTCATATTTCAAATCCTGGCACTTAACCCCAACAACAGCATGGTGTCCTACTACATTATTGTTTCCAATGATGGTGTGACCAGGAAGATCGTCCCCAACAACAGCACCTCTGTTAAATATATTTGCATACATATATGCACATTAAGCTTTGAAGAATCAAGAACGAAAGTACGATGTTCTCATAAAGGAGGCAAAAGCTTCAAATATAGAGAGAGAGTTTGGTTCAAATAAAAGTGCTTCCTAGGTGAAAAATAAGAACTAATTTTGGCCATTACAACATCAACATCCATGATTTATTCCAAAAGATTTTGGGGTCGGATACTAATTTTGGCCATTGATGTGAAAAATGGAAGGAAGAGATCAAATCTTAAGTTGGAAATGTGGTGGCGTTTTAGTAATTATGAAGAACTTTTAATGAATATATTTTAATAAATGCATACCAGAATATACAAAAAGTGTACATGTAGAGCACAAATATGCATCACAATACAAAATAAAAGATGCGCATGAGTGCACTTTTATTTATTAAAGTTCTTTTCTTGCAAATGATTTAAGGCCAAGATTTGTTCTCATTTTTCATAGGAAGACTACTTTTTACTTGAACTTACCCAATATATATATATATATATATATATATATATATATATATATATATATATCTGTGTGTGTGTGTGTGTGTATACACGTAGATTTAGGATCAAATAAGAACATTGCTTGAAGTGAGAATGGTGAGAATGACACTTTTAATCCCATGTAATGCACTATAAAGTTTGTACATTGCACTTTTCGCTATGGCAGAATATTTACAAAATTGCCGCCGCATTTTATGATATTTACATGTTTTGACCAAAGTTTAAAAAGTGCAACCGAGGAGCCTCATAGCGTATCAAATTAGGCTAAAAGTTTTGTGTTTACACATTCGTACGTTAAGCCCCGCTAAAAGTAAGTATATACATAGGGTGCAGCTCTAATGAGAACAAAATTTAACATGAGGACGCACACATTTAACTTAATGTGATGCATAATGGAGGTCGATTGGTGCACTTTTTAACTTTGCTCAACCCAAACCAATATTAAATAATTACAGCGGCACTTTGGTAAATATTATGCCTAATTGCTAAAAGTGCAATGGACAAGTCACATTGTGCATCACGTTAAACATTGTTCTCATTTGATCCTGTATATATTGTATGTACGTCATCAAAGTACAATTATCCCCGATAATAGTATTTCCAAATATGTGGCTGCCACAGTATAGCTGGCAAACATTCCCCAACTTCACTAAAGCACCAATTGTACAGAGGGGTCCAACCATCACACCCTACAAGCGTAGAACACGTGTTATATCATGTGTGCCAAAAACACTATAAATGACATTGGAGCAGCATGGTTAAGTTTGGCCTAAGTACCTAATCAAACAACCTAAGGCCAGGCTTTCCATTGATGCGGCTTTTAATCCACAACACCTTTCTCTCTACGGCATTGTTACCTACAATGTATTATGGCTTGAAAAGCACAGATGAAACATAAAAGCCACAGGTCTGGATGTGCTCTTAAGCACGTAGGATGATACTACCTAATTTCTGACAAAGTTGTTGGCTATTTTTAGCTAAGCAAAGAGTCTCACGAAAAACAACGCATTTGTAACAAGCAAGGTTATCAAGGTAGCCAGGTGAGTCGTGGCACCGCCTATTTGCCTAGGCTACATGTAGCACCATATATAACACTTAATTATAATAAAAAAATATCTAAATATAGTATATTAATATATTAAAAGCTTAATTATGTATTATTAAACTTGTGGGCTACAAGTAGCACCATATATAACCTGTGGGCTGTGTTACATGTGTTATTCTATTATATAGCATTGTGGGCTAAAAGTCTCTGGGCCCAATACATTATGTGTAATTAGTTATATTTGTGTACCTTGTGAATGAGAAAGAAATCAGTTTTGATCGAAAGTAATATTTCATAACATGGTATCAGAGCCTATGGCTCTTTTACGTAAACTCTCTGTATCCCTTTGGACAGAGCATTGACGATGCTTCCATGGCAGGAAGTGAAGATGCCGAAAAATCTTTGGTGAGATACTGGTGCCTAGACGGACCATATCGCCGTATCATCTAACAGCAAGTGATAATCCCGGAAGCGTAATCACGCAGGTTCAACTTCGAAGGGACAATTACGAAGAATGGGAGAGAACACTTTGTACTGCAAGAAAAAATTTGGTTTTGTCGATAATACGATTCCCATGCCTGATGAAGACTCATTGGACCTTGAGGATTGGTGGACGAACAATTCTCTCTAGGTTTCCTAGATTCGAAACACGATTGAACCTGGACTTCATTCGTCTATTTCACATATGGAGGTTGCGAGTGATCTTTGGCTTGACATTAAGGGCTGTTTCTCTGTGGCGAGACATTAGTGAGTGCAAGCAACGTGGGCTTTCCATTTCATTTTATTACGGGAAGATCAACAAATTATGGGATGATCTTTAGGATGTAGAGCCTCTGCCAATATATAACTGTGGACAGTGCTCTTGTAATCTCACTGCATCTCTCGAAAAAAGGCATGAGAATGAGCGTCTTCAGCAGTTGCTTATGGGCTTAGAAGAACAAGCGTATGGGACAGTTAGGTCTAACCTTCTTTCCCAGGACCCGCTACCTATTGTTAATAAAGCCTATAGAACATTGGTGCAAGTGAAAGCTCTAAAGCATTATCGGGAATGTCTGACGAGAGGAATGATCTTCAGGCCTTTACAGTCACTCATGTTATAATGACGGTTCGTGGAGGTCGTCCTGCCTCTTCACGAGGGATCTATTGTTCTATCCAACGATTTGTGTGTTAAGCATGTTATCTATGTTCCAAGTTTAAGATGCAACTTGCTGTCAGTTTCTCAGTTATTAGTGGAATCAAATTGTGTTATTCAGTTCACCGGGCAGTATTGTGTGATACAAGACCGCATTTTGAGGACTGATTGGTGCGGGTAAATCAAGTGGTGGTCTATACTACTTGAAGCAACGAGTTGATTCCCAGTATGCCCTTTCTACGTGCACCACCACTTTTGATATTTGGCATCAAAGACTCGGTCATCCTTCATCACGGGTTCTTCAGTTGCTTCCTCAAGCTGCTTCTAGTAATAAAACTAATAATGATGTTTGTGATGTTTGTGTCAAAGCTAATCACTCGCGTGATAGCTTTCCAGTTAGTTTGAATAAAACCTTGTCAATTTTTGAATCGGTTCCTTGTGACGTTGGGGTCCATATCAGACACCTTCTATGAGTGGAGCACATTATTTTTTGACAATAGGTGATGACTACTCTCGTGCTACTTGGGTTTATTTGCTATTTTGCTCCAGGCTAAATATGATGTTTATCGTAATTTGTGTGAATTTTTTGCTATGACTGAACGTCAAATTCAAAAACAAGTCAAGACTATCTCAAATGATAATGTCACAGAATTTGAATCTATGAAGCCGTGTTTTTGGCGTCATGGCACTTTCCATGAGACAACGTGTAGTGGCACTCCACAGCAAAACGGGCGTGTAGAACGTAAGCACCGACACATCCTTAACGTTGATTGTGCTTTGCACTTTCAAGCACATCTTTCTACTGAATTTTGGGGTGAGTGTATTTTGAGTGCCGGATATAGTATTTTAATTCGACTCTATCTCTTCTCCTTGTTGGTCGCACACCATATGAAATTCCCTTTGGGAAACCGCCATCTTATTCTCATATCCACGTCTTCAGATATCTATGCTATATTCGTAATCCATATCATCTAGGCAATAAATTTGCTTCCCGCAGTATTCCTTACGTTTTGGTTGGTATCCCTTCGGCATGAAAGGGTGGCGAGTGTATGATCGTGCCACTGGGAAATTTGTTATTTCTCAGGATATTGTTGTTATGTTCCTGGGCGAGAGCTCGCATCAACCGGAGGTTGGTAAGGGCAGGAAGATGGGATCCCTCTATTTTCGCAGGTAATAACGAAAAATAAAGGAAGGCATGGAAGGGGATAAAAAACTTCAGGAATTTTATGGAGTTCCTTTCTCCTTGATAAGTCTTAATTCTGGTTTGTTTATTATTCAAAGCAAGAGTCCCTATTTATAGTAATGGTTACAAGAACCAGTTAAGGAAGGAGAGAATTACATTAAATCAGTTCTTAAAATAAACTTATCTAATGATGGAAATCAATAAAGTTGTAGATCAACTTAACTAAGGAAAGTAATTAACTAGTCTAATGAAGGAAAACAATCAAACAATAAATCAGGAATCCGCTGAAGTGCTTAATCAGCTAAGGATCTGCTACTTCTGCCACTGATGTTGCGGCGCTGATAGGTCTTTCCGTAGAATGAATGATCACTCCCCTTCAGGACATCAAGCTTGTCCTCGAGCTTGAAAGATGGGAACTGGTGTTTAAAATCGTGCAGTGGTTCCTAAGTAGCCTCTTCCAAAGGAAAGCCTTTCCAAGCAACCAAAACTTTAGGAGAGCCTCGATTTGATCTGGTGCGCACAATAGCTTCAAGCTGAAGGAGTAACCGACCTTCTGTGATTGGGGGTAGTGGCGGTGCATGATCAGGTGGACTCCCGACAAACGCCTCTTAACTATGGTCACGACCATACTTCATTTCATTCCTCCTCAGTTACTCTAGATAAGTCTATTTTAAGAATTGATTTCTTTCCTCCCTGCGCACTACTCTCTTCAAGTTGGTCTATGGCCGTGACCCACCTCGCTTCTTACCATTTGAACCAGGGACTTCTAGAGTAGCAGCGGTGGATAAATTGCTCAAATCTCGAGATGAAATCCTCATGGTTGCTCGACATCATCTCCAACAGGCTCAAACCCGAATGAGGGATCAATGTGATAAGCATCATCATGAGGTCAATTATGATTCCATCCAATGGGTTTCGGTACGTCTTCCACACTATTGACGAGTTAACTTGTGATGACTTGTGAAATCGTTGGCGAGTTAATGACTGTTGACGATAGTGTGGAAGACGTACCCAAACCCATTGGATGGAATCATAATTGACCTCATGATGGTGCCTATCATATTGATCCCTCATTCGGGTTTGAGCCTGTTCGAGATGATGTCGAGCAACCATGAGGATTTCATCTCGAGATTTAAGCAATTCATCCACTGCTGCTACTCTAGAAGTCCCTGGTTCAAATGGAAGAGGCGAGGTGGGTCACGACCATAGACCAACTCGAAGAGAGTAGTGCGCAGGGAGGAATGAAATCAATTCTTAAAATAGGGTAACTGGGGAGGAATGAAATGAAGTATGGTCGTGACCATAGTATGGACTCCCGACAAACGCTTTCAGTTTTGAAACATGAAAAACGTCATGAATGCGACAATCGACAGGCAACCTAATCTTATAAGCAATTGGTCCAACCTTGTGCAAAACTTTAAAAGGTCCATACCATTTAGGAGATAACTTGTGAAATCGTTGGCGAGTTAATGATTGCTGCCGATAGTGGGGGGGACGTACCCAAACCCATTGGATGGAATCATAATTGACCTCGTGATGGTGCTTATCATATTGATCCATCATTCAGGTTTGAGCCTGTTGGAGATGATGTCGAGCAACCATGAAAATTTCATCTCGAGATTTGAGCAATTCATCCACCGTTGCTACTCTAGAAGTCCCTGGTTCAAATGGTAAGAGGCGAGGTGGGTCACGACCATAGACCAACTTGAAGGGTAGTGCGCAGGGAAGAATGAAATGAAGTATTATAGCAAGACTAAGCCCATGGTAAATTGTCCACCCAACGCCTTGGAAAATCGCCAACTAAACAACGCAAGTACATTTCTATAGTGCGATTTACAACCTCTGTTTGGCCGTCAGACTGAGGGTGATAAACAGTGGAAAATGAGAGTTTGGTACCACATAAACGGAAGAGTTCACGCCAAAAGAAACTTGTCAAGGTTGCGTCATGGTCGTTGACAATCTCTGGAATGCCATGCAATTTGACAATGTTGGAGTAGAAGACTGTGGCTACGAAGGCTGTTGTATATGGATGAGCTAGAGGAATGAAGTGTGCATATTTAGACAGACGATCAACCACCACCAAAAGGACTGATTTGCCATGAACCTTGGGAAGACCCTCAACAAAATCCACAGAGATGTCAGCCCAAATTTGTTGTGGGATGGAAAGAGGCTAAAGCAGGCCTGCAAGATTGGTATTTTCCCATTTACTTCTATGACAAACAGCACATTGTGCAATAAATTCTCTAACTGAGGCTACAAGTTTGGGCCAACGAAATTCTCAGCGAAGGCGATGAATGGTTTTTTGCACTCCTTCATGAGTAGAGTTGTGTACCTCTGCCAATATGGCCTGGATTAATTTTGAGGAAGGTAGCAAAAATAATTTGTTCCTCTTGAATAATAGACCATCACACACAGAGTACAGGCCATCTTCTCTTTCAGCCAGCTGCAACCAAGCTAGTGCATCCGGTGAGGATGAGGATTGGATGAGGATTGGATG